AAGTAGTCCAGTTTTTTTATCAATTTGTTACATCAGTGCCTTTATAAGAAGTGCTTACATTCTTTCTTATCCAAAATGAATGGAAAGATGCCAGAATCATTTGAAAGTTGAATTCGAAACAATTGATTCATTTACTTGACTGTATATTTACATAGGCAACTTTTTTTTTACATTTTCAGTTCATGATTAATGATTTTTCTTATTTTTTTTCCTTTGACAACCATTCGCTACTATTCACTTTTGTCATTGCTACTACAGGAAATCTGTGAAGACACAACTATGAATTTTTGGTCGACATTCATTCAAATCTGCGCTATTTTAGTAGTAAGTCAAATTTACTACAACTATTGACATTGAATTTGCTGCCCTTCGTTCTTTCTATTTTTTAGTATTAGTATTGCTATTGTTTGTTCTTTTATTAGGATAAATACATTTATTCCGTGTTCTTATTGTCGCACACCTCTATCATGATTTCTATTCGTATTCTATAATTTCTCCCATACCAAAATTCGTATTAAAGTTTGTATACAATTTAGTATGCCTAAAGACCAACTAATGGAATAAATATTCTTTATCCTCCTTTTATGCTTATGTGGTTGTATAAATTTACACTTATAGTTTCATTTGTGCCTTTCGTCATTAGTGAACAAATGATTCCTATTAAAAAAGAAATGTTTCTATTGTACACTATACTCAATACAAAATTAATGGTGATAAAAATCAATTTAAGTGGTCGAGAATATTATAAGCACATTTCGCCCCATTTTTATCTTTGATTTTATTTGCACTTATTTTCCTTCAATACATTTAACTTAAAAAAATTCATTTTTCCTAGATTTTATGAAGCCTGAAATAAAACCTAATTTCTTACTTTAAACTTTACACATATGGAATTGCTCATTTCAAGTTTAAATAACTTCGATACGTCATCTACATATTCATAAGATACAATTTATTTATTTATTTATATTTTTTTAAAGCAAAAAATTATTATTGAATTTACAATCATTCAATTTCTGTACCTCCATGTTATGTATCTATATGCTAGCAATTTACAATAATTCAATCTTTGGACTTCCATGTTATGTATTAATTATCCTACCAATTTCTGTACTTATTACATGTTATGTACCTATATCCTAGCAATTTCTAAAGCTAAATTTTATATTTATAATAAAATATCCATGTTTCACTATCAAATATGCAGGAAAAACGGTCAGACCTTTTCTACAATCTCATATAAAATATAGTTTTTATCTTTTCTTTACCTTATGTCTGGCAGCCGTATTTTTTTCTGACAAAGAGCTGAAACAAGTTACCAAAACACCGAGGTACTCTGAAATGATATGGATTACACTTTTCCTGTCTTTTACTTTTATCTTGCTACCTGTCTTCTACTGAAATAAGGCATTAGTATAATCATTTCTACTCTTCTCAAAGTAAAAAGAAAAGTAGCAATCGTATTTATTACCAAAATACCTTTAAAAAACTCTGAAATGTTATGGACTACACTTTTTCTCTGTCTTTTACTTTTGGCCTGTCAGCCGTCTTCTATTGAAATGAGTTATCAGTATAATCATTTCTTCTCTTTTCTCTTCTCTCATCTCAAAAGAAAAAGAATAGCACTACAATTTTGAATATATATATATAGCAACACAATCAACTTTTCTTGTATGAACCACTTCTTTTCTCTCTTGTATATTGTAGCAACCACTTCGTTTCTTCTTCACTTCTCTGTAAGATAAATATAAGGAGAATTATATAAACATATAAACATACACATACGTTTTGTGTATATATATATAGTGCAAAATTCTAATGCATGGTCTCTAATGCTTTTATATTTCTTCCAGGCTGAACAAGATGACAGAACACTATAAACTCATACCAGAAATCAGTCCAAATGAAAGAAATTGGCAAGCCAAGGTGATAGTTGCAGAAAAATTGGCTCCAAAGCAAGCAAGAAATAGTAGCAGTCGATATCAGAACTTGGTACTAATGGATTTCCAGGTAAATAGTTTGTGATTAATCAGTATAATCTATCAGCCTATTTGCAATGATATCATTATATGAACTATTTTGCACTTCTTATCTGCCATAGGGAAATAAAGTCCATGCAACATTATATGATGGAAATATAAATGCCTTCGAAGACCAGCTTGTATTGAGCAAAACATACATTGTTTCAAATGCTCTCGTGAAAGACACTAAACCTGAATATAAAGCTGCAAACGGTGACATCCAGTGGACAATTACAGGAAAAACTCGAATTCAAGAAGTGAATGAGAATAACATGGAATTTCTGTTTTCTACTTATAGTTTCACTCCCTTCGAAGAACTTGGAAATTACATGGACTGCAACAATGATATAAGTACACAAATTCTATCTATATTTTGAATAACAATATCTTACATTATTAATTCTTGATTCACATATGCTCTGTCACACTATTTATTGACTTCTTTATTGTATATATATCTAGGCATACTTGCGGTTGCCATAGACATGCGCCCAAAACGTCTAATTCAGACAAGATATGGCAACCAAACATACGTGCAGGATATTGTACTGATGGATAAAACCTTCCATAGTATCATCTTAACAATGTGGGACACTTACGTAGAGAAAGAGTGCATTACACTAGCAGAAAAAATTGCCAACAAACCAGTTATCTTAGCAAACAGGTTGAAAGTGTCATCCTTTAATGGTACTGACTCCTCCTTTTTGTACAGCTATCTTTAGTCCATACCAATCAATGTAAATCTATGTAAAAAAGATTTAACATTTAGTCTTTACTGCAGGTTTGACACTATCAACTAAGATCAATAGCACCTTCTTTATAGATGGTGGGTTTAACCAAGTTGCTGAGTTTCGAGCATGGTACATACATAATTCTTTCGTCATTATAAGTTATATGTTTATAGATAACTTTCATTAATCTAAAATTGTACTCTTAGGGTAGAAGCACATGCTGAAGAGTTGAATGAAATTACACTAGAGAAACCATCTCTTGCATTAACACCAACAAAATTGTCTCCACCAATGCACAAAAAATTTACTCAAATACACAATATTAAAGGCCGTTTACTTGGGGTAAGTTATTTAAGTTGTATAAATACTATATATTCCTGTCTTTATAGATGCTTTTTAACAACGAATCTTTCCACAGCGTAAGTACTTTTGGATCAAAGCAAAATCAACCATCTTAGCAAAAAAACAAGCATTTTGGTACATGTCTTGTAGTAACTGTAATAAAGTAAGCCATGCTGAATTTGGTGAGACCTTCCCCTGTGTGTACTGCAAATACCCTTCCTCAAAGGCTATGCCGAGGTAAATCATAACTACATTTGTAAAATTTATAAATATGCTTTCTGAAATGTAACAAGTGTTATTTCATTTCAATCTTTATATTTATGATAATGAAATTACTCTCCACTATGATAGGGCAAATACCAATGTACAGTTAGAAGATACCAGTGGAATCTTAATTGCAAGTGCAATTGGCAGCCCTGCAGAGACATTGTTGAAGTGTGATGCTGAGACTTTGATGAAAAGTTCTAATTCAGTGAGTATACATCATACTAAACTAGCTGAGCTTTAGTCATCCATTCATAATATTATTTATTTTTCATTCTTTAGGGATGTGATCCAAACATTGATAAATTCGTTGAAATGGATCCTGAGGAACACCTATTTTATGTTAAAGTCACACAGCTTGAGCCAAACACTGCTGAATATAAGTACGAAATTGTATTTGTGCTCGATCCATCTTCTACTCTTGATGATGAAACAGAGGAAGCGAGTAAGAAAGACAAAGCAATCCAAGAAGAAGATAAGAATTTTGATGATGACATATCACCACCATCTGCGAAACGATCATTGTTCCAAACTTCAACTAAGACAACACTTGCTGTGACAAAAATAGACAATCCCAGCTCACATACTCATCAGAGAAAGGAAAACAAGACTAATGCCTCATATTTGAAGACATCATCAATGCTACAACCTAAAAGATTGTGTGCTCCTTTTGATATCTCCATCCAAGATGCCAAGCCTTTGTTTTATTTTGTAGCATCATTTGCAGAATCTTCATGCCTTTTTGAATTTTGTATAGTGCTTTTGCTACTGTTGATGAAGTTTGTTCATGAAGGTTGTAAATGATGGGAAGAAAAGCTTCATATAGCTTGTAACTTATCTGACATGGAGTTTGTAATCTTTTGATATGTATAAAACGTCTTTTGTTAGCTGGTCTTTATCATTTGTAACTTAAAAGATTGACTGCATGTTTTACTATCTCCATTTGAATGATTTCAATCAGCTTTTGTTTTTTCGTAGCATCATTGGCATAAAACTCATAGCTTTTCAACATCTATTCTGTGTTTTTGTACTGGCTAAAACTTTCTAGGAACAAGTCAATGTAAAAAGAATGTAAACATGTTCTATGATACTTTAGGTTGTAAATGACAGGATAAAGTTAAAGGATTTTTGCAATCTATATAGAATGACTGGAACCTTTAGCTATATTATTTTGTGTGCTTATTCCATATAGTTTTATTCCATTTATTATAGAAGGTTACAAAAAATTGCTTTCAGAACGATCGCTAATTCATTGAAATTTTATTCAGACGTAATTATAGATAAACCTATTTCATATTTTTGCTTTGAACACAGTAAATACGAATGTTCATAACAAACTTGAGATTTTGTAGAATTTTCCTCTTCAAGTTAGGTCCTTAAGAGGACAATGTAAAGCAAGAAACAAGGCACCACATGCAGAGTAACTTCGCAAAATTCAGAGTTGAGACTCCGCATTGTGCGAAGGAAAAACTCCGCACAATACGAAGCAACAATCCGTACTGTGCGGATTTTCTAAACTCCGGACAATCCAGAGCAACCTCCGAATTGTCCGGAGTGGGAAAACTCCGTACAATCTGGAGGTTGCTCCAGATTGTGCGTAGTGGTTCCCCAAGTTGAACTATTCGGCACGATGCGGAGTATACTCCGAATATCATCCGGAGTTATTATACTTCTTTTATTTTTTTTTTTCTTCTAATGTAATGTAATTTATTATTTAGAAATTACAATTGAACCTTTATATTTACTCACTAAAAAAATATTTAAATAATAACTACATTATAAAACATGTAATATACATTACACTATTTATTACATTAAATAAAAATTATATGTACTCACTAATAAAATATTTAAATAATAACTAAATATGGGCTTTAAATATGTATATTGTTTTTTCTTAATAAATGCTTGAACGAATACTTTAACTACATGTAAGTCCTCTGTCCAAATGTTTTAAATTTTATGTTTTGACTTCTTTCGCATGGCATTTCTAGAGGAAGTTCAATGCACTTGCAATTAAAAGGTTGAAGGAGATACAATGCTACACAGATGTTAGGCATACTCAGAAATTACCCGTCAGAGGACAAAGGACAAAAGACAATTGTAGGACCTTGAAGGGAAAGAAAGTTGCAATTCCTCGAAAGAAGAAACGTTAGATGCTTTCATTTTCGAAATTTACTTGGTAATCATCAAATGAAGCCTGGGATCTGTATTCTTTAGTAAAATTCAACTACTACAATGTGATTATATTCCATTTCTCCTTTCAAAAAATTAATTGCTGCTTGTTTACTTGTCTTCATGGATAAATTGTTCTTCACATTTTTTTTAGCTATTACAAAGCATTAAACTTGAATTTCTAACCATCAATCCACGCTATTACATACTCAATTAAAGTAAAACACGTGCATTGCACGTGCGTCGACTAGTATATATAAAAAGTGGCACAATGGTTCTTTTTAAAGTTAAGTGACATACAATATCACTTTTATTAAAAAGTGATATTTGTCACTCAAAAAAAATGATTGAAGTTTCAAGAAAGTAACAGAAAATAAAAATGAAAAACACTAAAAAAGTGTTAGAAATTTTAAAAAAGTAACAAACATTCAGAAAAGTGACAAAAACCAATTAAAATATTGAAATCAATTCAATAAAATGACTAAACTTTGCATTTAAGTCCATTATTATTTGTGCGTTGAATATAACATGACTTTTCCTTTAAACCTTCATTTTTCAGGAATTATTAAATCTCAATCCTAGAAAAAGAAAAAAAGAAAGTGACCCACTCCAAAAAGTACCAAAAAATAAGAGAAAAAGTAACAGAGACTAAAAAAAATGACAAAACACCAATTAAAACATATTTTTGTCACTAAAAAAATTGACAGAAATTTTGAAAAAAAGTGACAAATACAATAAAAAAAGTAACAAACACTCAAAAGTGACAAAAACTTAAAAAGTTATACACTCAAAAAAGTGACACAAAACACAATTAAAATATATGTTTGTCACTTAAAAAAAGTGACTAAAATTTTTGAAAAGTGACACTAAAAAAGTAATAAAAATTCAAAAAAGTGACAAAACACAATCAAAACCTATGTTTGTCACTAAAAAAAGTGACAGAAATTTTTAAAAAATAACAAATAATAAAAAGCGACAAAAATTCTAAAAATGTGATGGAAAATGTTAAAAAGAAAGCGACAAGCACTGTTTAAAAAAGCGACGAAATGCAAAAAAGTAACAGTGCATTAATCAAAATTGAAGTTTGTCAGTCAAAAAGTTAAAGAAATAAAAAAAAAAGTAACAAACAGTAAAAGTGATATTTATCACTAAAAAAAGTGTTGTTTATCATTAAAAAAAGTGTCAGATACTAAAAAAAGTTATAAAAATTCAAAAAAGTGACAAACGATCAAAAAGTAACAAAAAATTAAAAAAAAATGAAAAAACACACTGACGAAATTTCACCAATAACCTAACAACTAAAAATGCAAAATGTCAAAATTTAAACATCATCATTGTTTGCTTGTCGGTCCTTTGCATCTCTACCTAAAAAAGTGACAAACGTTAGAAAAAGTGACACAAATTAAAAAAAAAATGAGAAAATAAATAAAAAAGTGACCAACAATAAAAGAAGTGACAGAAAATAAAGAAAGTGACACAATTCAAAAAGTGTCGTAAACTAAAAAAAGTGACACAAAATAAAAAAAAAAGAAAGTGATACACACTAAAAAAACATCCACCTTTTTTCCAGTGTAGTGTTTTAATCAATAAGTCGAACACATCATGATTTCAAAGGAAAAAAGTCGAACAAGTCAAAACCATCAAAGATAGATAATATAAACAAGCCAAGTTATTTATGAACAACAGCCAATTCAACTTCATATGTAGATTTTAATCAACAAACGACTATATAACACTCAATTGATATATACAACCCACCTCAACAAATGGTATGCCTTCTTTCTTTAGTATTCATTTTGAGAGATGAATACTCTCAAAGGTCAATGAATTGTATGAGTTCAATCCTCAAATTGAATGAAAAATCATACTTTAATTACTATGTTAGGCTATGCGTTTAAATGTTAAGTTCTTCAAAGTAGTACCGTTGGGATGCATGAATGGTAACGTAGTGTCTATATTGATCAAAACAGTTAAGGAGGCAAGGTCAATCCTTGATTTTATGATTAATAAAAAATATTGGACAAAAATTGTACACTTTTCCAAGTTAGAAATGTCTAACATGAATACATATAAAAGATTCAGGACAGAGACACGAGTATCACTAATTTGCTAATCAGAAGGCAATTTTTTGAAAAATTATGATGTCATGTCTAGAAATCCCGTGAACACCGTGAACAATACAATACACAATTCAAGTTATGGGATTTGACTTGACACCATTATGCCTTCACCATTTAGTACTATGAAGCCTTTAAACGGTAAATTCCAATTAAGACATTTTGTCAAACACCTTGATGATATCTTAGAAAATCAAAGGGAAAGAGTCTGTCATAGTTTCGGAGCAAATCCCAAATTTAATGATAATTTTTTTTGCATTTATACACAAACTCATCACAATCTATGCCCAAACCCACTTCAAACATAAATGAACGAAAAAACTACTCAAATTCAAAGTTCAACCTCAAAAACAAAGCTTATTCAATATTACCTTCAAATTCATATGATTGTAATTCTTCAAGTTTGAATTTCCTTCCATACTCCCAGATTTTCTCTTGGATGACTTTGATTAATGATATTAATTTACCTACTTTGACCATAGATAAAATCGACTAAATATCAACAAAGATTTACCAAAATTCGTGCGTTTACATTGCAAGAAAAGAATTTCGCTCAAGATTCACCCCCCAAAATCACCCAATCATCCAAATGGGAAACTCTCGTTAAACCTACAAAGATGCAGCAGCATTAAATTGGTAGGTGGGGTTTTCTCTCTATAAGAACAGTGGAGTCGAAGTTGGAGTTGAGAATAGAGGTTTCTCGAGAGTTTTCTAATTCAAGGATTTTCCCTTCTGATTTGAGTTTTTGTCTTGGGTGTTAAGATTTTGAACGTAATTAATACAATAATAGTAATTTTAGTTAGTTTTAAGGTACTAATCAAAGTTGAAATTATATGGAACTAGAAATTTTAAGTTATCATTTCAAAAATCAGTTAGAAAGTTTGTTTATACAAAAAACAGATAATTAAATAATAATAATAATAATATTATAAAATTAAATTTCAAGTCCATTTCATTTTCTTCTTTCCTCTCTCTCTTTCCATTCTCTCTCTACAATTCCATTTTTTCTCCTTCGCGGACGGTTTCCTTCCTTCTTTCACTCTCTGTATGATCTCGTATACACATTTTTTCTTTCACTCTCTTCGTTTTTTCACTGGCGGGTGCCGACCGATGGTGACAAATCCATCGCCGCTGTGAGCGACGAACCCATCGCCGTTGAATGGTGCTTGAGTTCGTCGCACACTACGGTGATCAAGATTTCGTTGTGCATAAAGGGCGATCAGGTCATCATTGTATACGATGCTCAGATCTCGCTGCGCGCAACTGTGTGTGCTTTGGTCGCGGTGTACGGTGCTCTGAGCACCACTGTGCACGACGACGACGATGACGATGGGTTTGTGACTTTTTTTGTGATGGGTTTGTGATTTGTGGTGGTTTTGTGCTGTTTTTGAGGTGGTGATGGCATGTGGTCCGCAAGGCACCCGTGATCTGGTGTAGGGTGCTTAGTGATACCGTGATCTGATGGGGATGATGGTATTGGAGTTTGGTGTGTGGTGGTGATTTTGCGTTGTTGTGGTGGTGGGTTTGCATTGACGTGGTGTGTGATGGTTGTTGAGGTAGTGGTTTTGCACGATCTGGTGAGGCGACGATGGTCATGGCGATCGCGGCGACGGCGATGTGGTGGTCGTGGGTAGATGGGGTGGGATGGGACGGGGGTGTTTGTGGCCAATTATTTGGTTAATTGTGACTAATAAATTGGATAATTTGTGATCAATAAATAATATGTTACCTTAAAAATGTAATTGCGATTCACAAATTTTTTTAGTTGTGACACCAATTAATTTGATAATTTGTGATCGATAAATGAGTTGTGAAGAATAAAAGTTTTGATTTTGTGTCTGGTGAATAAATTGTGACATACGAAATTTTTAATTTGTGATCGAGAAATAATTTGTAGCACATAGAATTTTTTATTTGAATACAAAAAATAATTTGTGGCCAATTAATTTGATAATTTGTGATCAAATTATATAGATTTGTGTATATGTTTAATTAATAAATATTTTTTTAATCAATTATTTCAAAAATAAAATTTAATAAATTTGAGTTTTGAAATTTTAAACTTTATTTCTTAATTTTGAAATAGGTTATAGTTAAACTCTTAGACATGAATTTTTGAGGAAAGTAAAGTTTGAAAATTGATTAATATAACAAATTTAATTTTTTTTTCATCAACCTTAAATATAACCATAGATTATACGTCCAACCCAAAACCAAACCCTAATCCACTCATTTTTGCCACATGACCAGAAGTGATGAAATCAAATGAGATGCAACCCTATTGATCATCACCATCGGCACCATTAGAGATGCTTGGACCTATGTGTGAAGAAGGCGATAAAAGTGTTCATGACTCAAAGGGAAGGAAGAGAAAGTGCAGTACAGTTGAAGGATCTTCAATGAAAAAGAGAAATCTTGCTCCACAAGCTTGAGAATCTAAGGTTAAGCTCTATTTGCTTATTGATGATGTTATAAAACTAATATTGATTTGAAAGAAAATAGTTATATAGGCTCAGTTGATTCACCGTCATTGTTAAGGCAAATTAAGCAACCTAACATAAAAGATATGTGGCTCATCATACGAGGCAAAATTGTTAGATTTTCTATTGAAAAGTTTTATCTATTGTTAATGCAGTGGATTTCATGTTGGTATAGTGGAATGCGATTCTCTTCATTTAGTTCAAACGATGTCTTCTAATTTTTCTTTTGTGCCAAACGAAGTAGTTTTATTTTGTATTGTTATGTTGTTAGTTAACTCATATATTGCTTTTCAATCGCCAAATCTTTATCTATTTTTGTCTTTGGTGTTGCTTCTACTAAGGCAATTTAGTGGTCTCTTTAGCTTTATGCCCATATATCATATT